ATAGTTAAAATGCAATTTGTATTTTACATCAAACTGTAGGTAATTGAAAATGGAAGCAAGTGCTTTTGATCGCTGCAGCACTACTGGAGTAGGAGAGGAAAATGTATGCAAGACTAAATATGAAGAAGGGAAAGCCAACAGCTTTTGAGTGGTTTACTTGTTGCTTAGTTATCGATTCTGAAGACAAATGGTGCACACCTGAGAATCCCTGTGGCCAGCTAGTAGTGACTGAATGTCATGCCTAGAGATGGGCATGAAACACTTTGTGTCATGTTCTCTAAGTCATCGGTGTGGCACCACAGATGCCATGTGCTCACTTCCACCACCACCCCAGTCGGTTCCTCCCACTGACCTGCCAGTGTATCGTGTTCCTTTCCTCCCATTTGCACAATCTTCCATCCTATTAGGAGCATGGACTTCCCTACTCTGCCTCTTCCAGCAGCTGCCCACTCAGAGGAGGAGGCAGGACAGGGTATGATGACACAGCATGGAGTGCTTCATGCCCATCTCTGGGCATATGTGTGTGTGTGTGTGTATGTATATATATATATGTGTGTGTGTATGTATGTATATATCTGTCTGTCTGTCTCTCTCTCTCTCTCTCTCTCTCTCTCTCTCTCTCTCTCTCTCTCTCTCTCTCTCTCTCTCTCTATCTATCTATCTATCTATCTATCTATCTATCTATCTATCTACAGTATCTATATATCTAGATCGATAGATAGATATAGATAGAGATAAAACTCTAGATAATACACATAGATATACACATATAACTCTAGATTATGGCTGAAATCCTGTTGCTTCATTATGTATATGTATATATATATGCATCTCTGGGTTCCAAATGAGTTGTATGCTTAGGAGTTATTTTTCAGCTCTGAATGCCAAAGGATTTGCTTCTTCATTTCCCCCTCCCAAATAATACTAACTGTTCTGAAATAACCTAGTGTTAGTGTAAAAATGGTGTAGCAGACACATTTGTGGTTTAGCATAACATTCAAAGCAGCTCATTTGAAATAAATACTAGCCAAGAGATTTCTCCCGCCTTCTGCTGCATGCTGTTTAAAATTCTTCTCATGTAACTATTTGCCGTAGATAGATTCTTGGCAGTATTCCAGCTGCTGGATGTGAGGGTGTTAGTCACATCCGAGTATTGCCGTATTATACAGTTTGGGCTATGATTCATTCTCGTAGCAGTCTCATGGCTGTGACAAGGATTATTTTCTGTATAAATACTTGCACTTTCCTGACCATTCTGCTGTTGGCAAGTGGCAGGAACTAGAATGGTGACTGGATGCCATTTATGAAAGAAACTAATCTGTTTCATTAATGAACAAAATGCTAACTCATCTGCTGTGTGGTTGTTGAATTCAGATCTTTCCTCTGTGAAATATTCACCAGATCAGTAAGCAATTGCAAACTGATCCTTGATTGAGACACATCTTCTTTACTTGCAGTTTCCTTTATTGTTTGGTTGAATGACTTAGTAATAAGTTGGAAATGGACAAAGCAATAGTCATAGCAAAGAAGTATATATATATATTTTACAGGATTTTGCTGCTTTGGAGGTTAGAGTGTGCCAGTCACCGCAATAATCCCACCAGTCTCCCAAAATATAATTTTTAGCCACTGAATGCTTGGTGTTCTTGGCATTTAAAAAAACGGGGGGGGGGGCAAACCTCAGAAATTATTCTCAAAGCAAAATGTTGCAGAGTTGAAAGAGGTATCAGATAAGCCCATGTCAAGTTCCGACATGCCATTAGAATGTGACAGAAACATGTTATACCCAAAAAGAATAACCATGTGGCATGTGTTCATACCCTGTTTCCCTGAAAATAAGACCTAGTATGATTTTTCAGGATGCTCGTACTATAAGCCCTACCCCAAAAATAAGCCCTAGTTAAGTAAAACCCCGCCCTCCACCATTGTGCAGCAGCCAGAAGATGACATGACTGTAAAATAAAACATCCCTTGAAAATAAGCCCTAATGTGTTTTTTTGGAGCAAAAATTAATATAAGACCCTGTCTTATTTTCGGGAAAACATGTAACAGCTTCCATATAATTTTAATGTTTTTTTTAAACTTTCCCACTAAAAATGTTGTACTGTTGGTAACTAATAAACATAAAAAGAAAACAAATTCAAAACAAATGGACCAGTGAAACCATTAATGTAATTGCAATAATCAAAATAATTAAAACTGTCCCAATATGCATCAAGGCAGTGTGTGTGTGTGGGGGGGGGTCATTGTTGTATTGTTCCTAAAACCAGTAGGAATGGAAACTCCCAATATGCATCAAGGCAGTGTTTGTGTGTGTGTGGGGGGGGGTCATTGTTGTATTGTTCCTAAAATCAGTAGGAATGGAAACACAGAAATGTGAAAAGAGTGCATTCCACAGTGTGTGCCTGTCAAGGAGGTTTCTGCAGACAACGGTTTTTTCCATAGGGCATCTCCTGAAGCTTTTAACCAATGTGCAGGTTCATAACAAAGTGGTCCCTTAGACAGCTGGACCCCAAACCATGTGTAGCAGACAGTAATGTGACAAAAGCCATCGGGGAATACATGGATGGCTTGCACCCTGTCTCATTATGAAGCCACTTTTTATCTCTGATTACATGTCTGAACTGGGCCTAAAACTACTCCTGGAACAGATTCCCAAATGATTCTTGCTTTGTTTCTGTTTCTTTCCATTTGACTGTTGTTCTTTTATCAGAGCCCCTCCTATTGCTGTATAGTTACTTCTCTGTGGAATAGTTTTAAAGTTGTTTAAAAGCTGCTATAACGTTGCCACTTCCCTAAGCTAAATATAACAGTTTCTTTATTGTTCTCCCCTGTTTCCTACATTCTGGCTGGGATCAAAAGGATTGTGTAAGTGTATTTCCTAGACCTGAGTTTCTTTAATGGTAGTGCCCACCCTCTTCACAGTTGGAGAGAAGATTTCAAATAATGTAATGTGGCACAAGATTTACTAATAAGAGTGCAGGGCACAATTGGTATCCATGGAGCATACCCAGACCACTGGTTCTTAACCTTGGGTTACTCAGGAGTTTTGGACTGCAACTCCCAGAAGCCTTCACCATCAACTGTGCTGGCTGGGGTTTCTGGGAGTTACAGGGGACAATTGGTATCCATGGAGCATACCCTAGACCATATAAAGGTTTTTGAAATAGGATCTTCTTGTTTTTAATGACAACCTCCATGTTCATTATACTTTACTACCTCATAGCAACTTTTCATTTGAAAATATAACCATATAAAGGTTTTTGAATTAGTATCTTGTTTTTAATGACAACCTCCATGCTCATTATACTTTACTAGCCTCATAGCAACTTTTCATTTGAAAATATAAACATATGAAAAAAAAACTGGACATAATAATTCTGGTATTATATACCATGCAAAAATGGGAAGAGTAACTTTTTCAGTAACATATCCATACTTAGCAAAAAATGCTAACTAATCCAATATTGTATAAGGATAATAATCTTGAAAGAGCAATGGATGTCAGTGACCAGAAAATTGTAGGTAGCTTACTCAGTTTGGTGCATTAACCATCCATACTTAGCAAAAAAAATGCTAACTAATCCAATAATATACTGTATAAGGATAATAATTTTGAAAGAGCAATGGGTCTCAGTGACCAGAAAATAATAGGTAGCTTACTCAGTTTGGTGCATTAACCATACTTGTGTTCATACATTATTATTTGGAAAAGATATATTATTTGGACGGCTACAAACTAAGTTTATATGAGATGCTGTGGAGCCAGAGATGGTTGAGCAGTCAATGACTACTAATCAGGTTGGCTATGTGGCACGTCCACTATCAGAGGCAGCATGCCTCTGTTAATCGGTTGCATGAGACAGAGGCTGCAGCTCCCCTCTTTGTCCCAGTGGGCACCAGTTGGCCAATTAAGTGAACAGAATGTTGGACTAGATAGGCCCTTGATTTAATCCAGCATGGCTTTTTGTTTGTTCTTATTTTAAAGTGTGTTCATATGTGCTGCCATTCAGGCAGACCTAATAGCTCCGTGTTATGATACAAACATAGCACTGATCATTGTTGTCCAGGCTTTTTTCTTCTGTTGTGAAAATAGGGCATAAGAGACTTGTGACCTTCTAGGACTATTGTCTACCATTTCTACATCATCCCATAACCATGTTTAATAGATTTCAGTTCAATGGCATGTGATTTATGGTTCTGTTTTCTTTTAATGTTCTTACAGGCAAAATGTTCTGACTTCTGCAGTTCATATTTGCTTATAATTTCACAGACTGAGAACCTCTCCATTGTAAATTTTTCTTATAACAACTCCAGACTCACGCAGCACCATACTGTGCATGTTTGTGTGTTTTTTTGGCATTATGATTTTCAAAATCTCCTTTTTCAGTCTAGAGCTCTGTGTACTATTTTACATGTGGGGTGGGAGTGGTAGTAAAATTTTTTGATTGGAACTATTGTCTAATCAAAGGCAGTCTCATCTCATAAAATTTGTCTGTTTGGAAGTTGGTACCAGTGAAAATCCTGGCTTACTGTTAATGAGCTATATGCTGGTGCATACAGCCTGGTTCCTTGTTTTCAGCTCCTTTCACTACCAGGCATGGCTAAGAAAGTAAAAATAGTTTGCTTCGTATATAACCCAGGATCCTGACACAGTTCTTCCAAACAGGCCAGGGCAGTTCGTATGTGGGTCTTATGAATCCTTGTTTGTGTGGGAGCAGCCAGTCAGGACCCAGATTTGGAGGACAAAGTAAACATGTAATTTCAGTGTATTGGTTGTATTGGAGAAGCCAAGAACAAGTGAATAGGTTGTATGGAACTTCATGCTGCTTATTAACAGTAAGATATATATTATTTTATACCATGAGAATATTTTTCTCTTTAACCTATGTAAACATGATCAGTGTCTGGAACACTGTAGAGGTCAACAGTGTTTGTTTTTATTCAACAAACTACACCAGGAAGCAAAACTGACAAATATGTATATATATTCCTTCTAGGACTATATGGTTATGATATTTAAAATCTATGATGCCTCCTGCCATGGCAGATACCCTGGACATCTGGGCAGTAGATTCACAGATAGCAGCTGATGGCTCAATATCTGTGGACTGCCTCCTTCCTACAGGAATTTACATCAGCTTAGATGTGCCTCGTGATGCCACTATTTGCCACATCAAGCAGGTAAAATTTGTTATTTTACTGTTGACTTTTAATTGCAGTGCTCTTTAGTTTCCATATGAATGCAGTAGGTCATTGTTGCTTCCAGATTTCGGAACCCCCTCCCATGGGAGGCCAGGCTGGCCCCATCTTCGATAATCCTTCCACAAGCAGGCAAAAAACCTTTCTGTTCATGCAAGCCTTCCCTCAGTAACTAGCTACCTGTGTGAGATTTTCAGATAGATTGTTATTTATTTATTTATTTATTTGATTTATACCCCGCCCATCTGGCCTAAAAGGCCACTCTAGGCGGCTTCCAGTGACTCCTTGCAGGATGATGGACGGATGTGATGTCATCATATGGCAGAACATGACAAACACTGTAGTTGATTTCATGTTATGTCTTTGATTGGATTAATAGTAATACTTGTGTTTCCCATTTTTGCATTTTCCATATCTCAGAGTGGTTTTTCTTTTTTTATTAAAAAAAAGAACTACTGTATAGTTATTGATTTTTGCCTTAATATTGCCTGTTAATGATGTAAGATGTGTCTTTATTCATTGTTCGTACTTTTAAACGTTGTATTTTAATTATGTTAACCACTGTTGTATACTCATTGTTTTCAACTTTAAATATTGTCTTTCAGTGTTGAAAGCTGCCTTGGTTCCTTTTCAAGGAGAAAGGCGAAGTAAAAACATTTTATATAGAATAAGAATAATTTGTAAGTGAAGTTAGATTTAAGAATTTGATTTTCAGAGCAGTGGGGCGTTTTGGGGGTTTTTATTTTTATTTTAGAGGAAGTTCCCACTGTGTTTGCTTGTGGACATATGACTTATGTTCTTAATTGTGTTGTCCATAGCAGAGAAACAGCATAATAAATAGGTTAGAGTAGAAGTTCTCTATGAACTTCTTGACAAAAAATGTATGGACCTGTGCTCTTGGATCAGTGGGAACAATAGGGGCCTGCCTGCTGTATCAATTCCTTCCTAGTCCTGCAATTTTGAAGAAATATTTCTTCTCCCTTTACCAGTGAATGTGAAATATAGTCAAATAAGTTGTCTTTTGCTGAGACAGCAGCTACTATTAGCAGATTGACATAGAGGCACATGAAGGGCCGTTAAGTTTCTGAAGCTGGCCAAAAATTGATTTCTTTTCTAGTCTTGGCATGGCCAGAGCCTAGCAACCGTCTTACTAAATTAGTAAAAAAAGAATGCAGAAGAACTCACTCAGAAAAAGAAGGCCTCTCTCAGAGAATTACACTAAAATATAAATAAAGATGATGACAAGTGTACCTCTGTACTGTATTCCCAACAATTTGTACTAGAACAGTTCTTACAATGGAAAGAACTGTTTTTTCTTTAACCCGTGTTCTTCATTTAAAAAAAAAAAGAAACCACTTCCATTTACATTTGGCACATGACCTACCACTTTTGTCTGGAGGACTGAATCAGCTGTAATTGATTTAAAGATGCTTGTTTATGCTAAGAGCGGAGTACCTCAAGAGTGACATTGAAGCACCTACCTGAAGTTGTGCATAACAAGTCGAGATTTTGCTTCCCATTGTATAGCTATCATAATCAATGTATTTGTTTGCAGTTATTATGGAAGCAAGCACACAGCTACCCTCTGTTTCACCTTCTTATGGAGATTGACTCCTACATGTTCTCCTGTGTCAACCAAACAGCTGTACGTGAAGAACTGGAAGATGAGACACGAAGGCTCTGTGATGTTAGACCATTCCTTCCTGTCCTTCAGTTAATTACAAGAAGCTGTGACCCTGGGGAAAAATTGGATTCTAAAATCGGTGTCCTCATAGGAAAAGGTAAAAAATGAATGATATTTTTTTTCTGTTGCAGAGATGGCAGCATATGGGCTTGAAATATGGCAAAACCTGTACATTTTTGCTATGTGACCATTGTGGTAACAGGACAGTAAAAAGTCACATTCTAAAATCATTCCCTCAGGTCTTTCTCCAGGAACTGTCATCAAGTAAACTGAAGCGAAATGGCTACAAACAAGAGGACATTTACAGTGGTGGATGTTTATTGGTAGAATATTGTCTGCTTAGAGGCTGATGTGGATGGTTTTTGTTATAGGTTTTGTTTTGTACCAGTTGAAGTCCTTATTCTGCCAGTCTTTTAGTGGTTTTAGATCTTCACATTGTTGATAGCCTTTATTCTGGGGAGGGGGTTGTGGTGCTGCTTTCCTTCCTTATTCTCTTGGCTTTAGTAAATACTGATTTTTATCATTCTCTGTTGCTTTGGATTATGTGACAGACTCTTGTTGATTCTGAGCATTGGATCTTAAAGGAGGTGATTTTCTCCCTCACTCGGCAGCCCTCTCACTGGAACAGATGGATGCTCTCCTTTTACAGAACTCTCTTCTCACAGGTTTTCCAGCCCCTCAGATCACTGTTGAGGTTGCATTGGGACTGCATGATGATGGGAAATCCACCTTTTCCACATTTTTGGATGGGCTTCTTCCATCAGTGTCAGGACCTCAAATGATTTTTCTCCCTCACTAGGCAGCCCTCTCAGTGGAACAGATGGATGCTCTCCTTTTACAGAACTCTCTTCTCACAGGTTTTCCAGCCCCTCAGATCACTGTTGAGGTTGCATTGGGACTGCATGATGATGGGAAATCCACCTTTTCCACATTTTTGGATGGGCTTCTTCCATCAGTGTCAGGACCTCAAATGATTTTTGCCTTTGTTTTTAATTTATGTAACTGCCCCAAGAATTCTGCATATGAGATAGTCTAGAAGTGTATGAAATTAATAAATACATACATATTTTCCCTCCAAGTTCCAAAACGATTGTTCCAAAATTATCTGTTTTGACCATGTTCCACATTGCCGTTGGGTGAGTTTATAATGCATGAAATTGTTCTGACACAAGTACCCCCATGGAAGACTGATGATATTCTCATCAGAGGGTAGTTTTCAGACATTTAAAACTTCCTACTTTTGTGCTACAGTTCTCATGTAGGCCCTTTCACCATGTAGAAGCTGTGGCAGCTGTTTGAGGGGAAGTGGAACCTTAAATTCTTGAAAATAGGCACCACCAGTAATTACATCTGCAGTGCATTCTCCAGCAGATCTGAAGTGTAATCTCCAGCTGATTGTCCACCATGGATTGTCCATCATGGGCAAGTGGTGAGATTCACAAGGGCTATAGGCTAAGGCAGGGTTAAATATGAATTTTATCTCAACTATAGCAGACCTATTAAAATGAAGAGTGGCATGAGATGGAAAGACTAACTTAAATCCCACTGATTTAATTGGACCAGGCATCATTGGTGAATATGTACAAGAATTTAAAAATTGCTTGTTAGGGTTTTTAAGGTGTGTGTGGGATTGAGAGAGAGAGAGAGAGAGAGAGAGAGAATGTATGTGTGTGTGTGTGGTTTTTTTCTCCTCATTCTACCATCTTAGTGCAGCATTATGTGTGTGTGTGGTTTTTCTCTCTCCTCATTCTACCATCTTAGTGCAGCATTTGTTAACAGTTGTATTTGCATTCATCTTGACCTATGCAATCCAGGGTTGTTGTTTTTATGGAAACCAGAACCTGTGCTGAAAATCAGGTAGAGTTTGTTGGGGTATAATCATGTTCTTCATGCTTTAGAACATGACTCTCTGCAACTGTGTATTGAAATTAAAAATAGTCACTAATCAAGCCATGCTTCTCATCAAAACAATGGGCAATTGTTCGTCCTGGCACAAAATCTGCAAGTTTTGTTTACATTCAACAGAGAACTGAACGCTAACTTGTCTGTACTGACACGGGCATCTACTTGTGTAAACTGTTCTTTTCTCAGTTTTTATAATTGATTATTTTTTTAAAAAAGAATGACTGGGCAAAGTCCCTCTTTTTTTAAACAAAGCAACACTCCAGTTCTTTGTACTATTCAGGGTAGAAAATGTTTGACTGTGAAAATCTGCTTGGTCCACACTTTGATCTATAGCCCTATTCAATCACTTCTGAAGTGTCTTTAAACATAGAAATACAGTATGGGATGTGTGGTAGCCCTGCCCTTACCACCATTGCTTTGCTCCTATGAAAACAATATGGATGAGGTGGAGAGCCTCATCTAGTGGTGGAATCTCTCAACATGAGCAAGAACATAGAGAAAGCTGGGTTCTGACTTGTGTGGATAAGCTCTATATGTGGAAATTACTGTATTCTCCTTCACAAATGATGTTGCTTTTGCATGAACAAAGCAAAGATGAAAGGGATAAGGCTACTAGTGTCTCTCTCCTCTTTGCAAGTTTCAGCAATCAGTGCTAGTGGGAATAATTTCAACAGTATCTGCCAAAGCATTAAGGGTAGTGTAAAACATTAGTGTTCCCTCCAAACACTAAATTTTGCACATGAAGGTTACAATGCAGAACATAAACAGCTTACATGCTCTTACGTCTTTTTCCTGTCATAATAGTTGACATATGCCTTAAAATAGGGGTTAAGATAAAATTTCACTATTACAAGAAAGACAAGATAATTATTTTCTTGTGATTTTCCAGTCTTTATCTTTTCAAGTTTTTTAGCAGACCACTTTTGCTAAGATACCTGGGATGTCCATATCTTTAATGATGACTTATTTTTTGGTGGGCTTAATTTTAAGGTCCATGTTGCAAGGAATTAGGCACATATTAGTAAAATGTGGAAGTAATAACAGTGTTAGATTTGAAATACGATGATATCTTCTGTTTAATAACAGGTCTTCATGAGTTTGATGCCCTACAAGACCCTGAAGTCAAAGAATTCCGGATTAAGATGAGGCGAATCAGTGAAGAAAAGATGCATTCAGTTGTGAGGCTATCTTGGATGGACTGGTTAAAACACACTTATCCGCCAGAACTAGAACCAACCATTCAGGAAAACTTACAGGATAAGCTTTATAGTGGCAATCTTGTTGTGGCTGTTCATTTTGATAACTGCCAGGTAAGATTATTGGGTGCTGCAACCACATTGACAACAATATCAATTATATT